CCAAATCATATATGTGTGTATTCTTCTGGGCTCTTAACATGTTATTTTTGTGTGTGTAGAAATGCACAGAGGGAGGATAAAAGTTCATTCCGATTCTTGCTTTCAACACATCAAGTTGCCTATCAAATTCAAGATCCCTCCACCGCAATCCATGAAGAAGACATAGGTCATGACATAGAAGAGGGCAAAAAAAATGATTTCAAGAGCAAAACTTTCAGGCTCAAGACTCTCCAAGAGGAGCGCCACCAATATTTTACAGAAATGAATTGGGGAAGGCAACGAAATCACCATCTCTGACTAAGCTAGGGATGTAAGCGAGTCGGGTCGAGCCGGTTCGCGAGCCTAAAGTTGCGGCTCGGGTTCGACCCGGTTAAAATGACCGAGCTTTTTTGCAGGCTCGAGTCGGGCAGAGCAAAAGCTCGACCAAAAAAATAGGCTCGGCCCGAGCTTTTGCTCGGGCTTTTTACAAAAGTTCGGGCTTTTTACAAAAGCTCGGACTTTTTACGGGCCGAATCGGGCAGGCTCGTTTTCTCCCCCCCTTTTTTTTTCTTTTTCTTTCCTCCTGCTGCCTTAAAAGGCAGCAGTTTTGCCTTAAATTTAATGTGTTTTTTTTATTTATTAAAAAGCTCGCGAGCTCACGGGGCGGCTCGGGCAAAGCCCGTGTCCCCAAAATGGGGCTCGGCCCGAGCTTAGGCTTGGGTCTACCGAGCCCCGAAGAAAATCCCACCATTATTTGAATTGAGACCTAAAAAAATGTTGGGCATCATGATTGGAGAAGTCGTCTTAAAAAACAACAATTTACGCTGACGTGGAGAGATTAATGGATTCCGTTTGATACATCATCTTTTCATCTGCCATGTTGAACTTTTTGGCCAATTTTACATATGGAAGTGACAATAGTGATGAATGAGTAAATTGATGAATACTTCAGTGAACATTTGATAATCTTTTTATTTTCGATGAGCAAGTAGTAATCAAGGATAAATTTCAGTGGCCACTCAAATAATTAGCTCTAAAATATTGTGTATTGTACTAACGGCCCGTGTCATTATCTCAAGATTATGCCCTTGTTTGATTTCCATTATTTCTTCATTAAAATAAAAAATATGATCGTTATTCATCACATCAAGCTACTAAATTTGAATTTCTATCTCTTGTATTGGGCCCATAACGATTATATTTTTCATTCTGATTCTTACAATTTGAAACTAACGGGAGCTATATGTTTTATAAGCACTTGAAGCTCAGTTTTCAGACAACTTTTGTTGGGAGCTCAATAACAGTTTTGACTAATTTAATTGAAACTCAGTAATTCTTTGGATTAAGTTGCAGCAATATTTGAATAAGCAGAATGCAAAGATTCCAGATTTCCAGTCCACCCTTGTGTTTTTGTGGTGAAATGAGTTCCAAACATGTCAAGCTTGATCCCATTGGTCATGACTAGAGATTTATTAAATGTGACTGGGCCCATGGTCCAACCCATCCACTTACAAGACTCACCTTTGATTTTCATCTCGGTAGGTGTATTATTCTACATTTTTTAAGAACGTTAATTTATTTCTTTCTACCTCGTGACCAAGACGATTGAAACGACACGAAAAAATCCAGACGGTTGGGAAGGCGAAAGGTTGATGATAAGAATTTGGAAAAGTCGGACCGATCAGGTGTATTCTCTCAAAAACCGATACAAAAGAACGAAACGAAATGAAAGACCCGCGGTCACAGAAAGAGTCAAGTAGATCAAATGATTGGAAGAAGCAAAAGAAAATTCGGGATTTGATTGAAAAAGAAGCAAGATTACAGATATCATGACCTAACACAATCAACAAAGAAGATTCTTTTTAAACCACTTTGTGTCGGTAGAGTCTTGAAGCATCCGAACTACGTTGTGGTTGTAAATGACATAAGCTTTCTGGTATAAAATGACGACTCCTTTAGAAATACTGAGTAATTTACGTTCTTTTTCCCTGGAAGTCCTGCTCCAACGGTCCAATGAATACTTAACATAGAAGAAAATGCATTTCAATTGCTATATAAAGTTCTTAATCAATCCGTAGCACTAAATAGATTAACAATACCCCTGAAAATAGATTATATAGCTGATTATTGCTTATGGCTGATTGATACAGGAAGATCCGAGTCGAGTGATGCTGATTTGTCAGCTAACACGATGATGGCGCTGAGATACCATGAGATGACGGATCGGCGCAAAGATGGGAAGTGAATCATAATTATTTCCTTAATTGGGCGAATTTGACACGTCTTTGGTAATTTGGTCATAACTTTGGCTACGGTTATTAGAATCGCTATTATGACCCCAATTCGAAAAGCTCTCTTCGACGCGCACGTCGTGGCCACCCAGCTATGCTCGGTGGGCGTCAATTTCGAGCCCAAAATCCGCTGTTTTTCTTTTCAAAATTCAATTTTTAATTATTTTTGCTATTTATGGTAATATTTCATTTTCCTTTTTCCATATGTTAGAAAACTCGAATTGAGCCAAATTTTTGGCAACCTACTTCTTTTACTTAATATTTTATTCTAGTATAATTTCGGGACTTTGCCATTTTTAGTATTTTTCCTATAATTTCATATTTTGCAACTATTTGACCCGACTTGTGGGTTAATTTTGGTCATCCTATATTATTAATAATATTGAGTTAATTTCAGAGTATTTTCTTTGATTTTTGGGCGTTTTTCTTTCATTTCTTTTTTGCGAATCATCTGCTACAACAAGCCAATAGGATAATCACTATCCTACCCGACGTCACTGATACTGACCTTTTTTTTTTATGATTTAGCCCTCACATATGGCGCAGGAATACCATGAATACAGCTCCACATCACCAAATAGACTTTAAAGACAAACTATTAATAAATTCATACATATGGAAAATGATTTCTATTTTATATAATCAAGTTAGTAACTGTCTCAGGAAGATCTGCCATATCATGGAAGATAGCCGTATTTCCACTTCCATCTATTTTATATAATGCGTCTGTAACTTGGTTTGCTTCCCGATAAACATGTCTGAACACCACTTCCCTTCCCATCATAATATCATTTATCTCCTCCCATTGTTTCCAAAATTTCCATCCTGACTTGATTCCTTTAAGAAAAAAATATTGTTAGCTTCCCTCTCTTATTTTTCTAATGTAATTGTAATTTTAATGTGGACTTAAAAACTAATATAATTATTCAACAACTAAGTTGAATGCAATGTTATAGAGTTCTCATAAGGCTCGTTTGAATTATCATCATTCAAATAATTATTTCCGAGATTCCCACATGGCTTGATGGAAAACCTGAAATTCCCACATGGTTTGATGGAAAACCTGACTTGATTAATCGCGATAAATTGTTGAAGTTGAGTCATTTTACTTTTGCAATTTTTTAACTGTTCCCTAAGTACATCAGTATATTATATAGTATATAGACATTAACAACTTGTAATTTCTTAATTGATATAGTGACCTCGATAGGAGACATCACTAGAAAGCCAAAATACAAAAATATTAATAAATACTTTTGTTAATTGAATTCCAATCTGGTATAATCTGTTCATGTTTTGAGTTTAATACAAAGATAATCATTCAAACAATAATGTCACGATAATGTATGTAGTTTTTCTTCATTTAAATTGTGACTCTGTCCCTTTCTCTTACAATCCTTCATGCAAACATGTTTAGTTTCCATCAAGAAATCGATGAATTTCTTCTGTTTCTCTTCTTTTTCATCACTTTATTCGTTTTATGGTTTCTCACAAAATCTCGATATAGGCATACCGGTATAAAGAATCTTTCCCATGATCATGAAGAAGTTGCAAAACGAGGTAAGGGGTATTCTTAATGGAAAACAAGATATAGCTCATAATGACCTGGAGAATATGCATTTTCTAAAAGCCGTGATCAAAGAAACTCTTCGTTGTCATCCTCCGGTCCCTTTTTTGGCCCGAATAGCAAGCGAAGATGTCGAAATAATGGGATACGACGTAGAAGCTGGCACAATGATCTTAACCAACAGTTGGGCAATAGGTAGAGACCCTGCATCCTGGGAGGAGCCCGAAAAGTTTCAACCACAGAGATTCTTGAATTCCTCTATAGATTTCAGAGGACTAGATTTCCAACTGATTCCATTTGGTGCAGGCAGAAGAGGGTGCCCGGGAATTGGTTTCGCAATGGCAACTATTGAATTTGCACTGGCAAATCTTGTCCAAAAGTTTGACTGGAAATTGCCCAATGGAGAAAAAGGAGAGGATTTGGACATGACTGAATATCCTGGTGTTACAGTTCGTAGGAAGAAACCTATTCTTGCTGTTGCCACTCAACACTGCTTCTAGCACAGATGAAGTTCCACTTTGATTTCTTAATAAAGGCTACGTTGTTAATTTCAGTTTACATTTTATCATACAAAAAACCGATATATTTATCGAGGGAGCTGACTTAAATCCAAAGATTCAAGCATATAACAATTAGGGTACTATGGACTTATTGTGCTTCAGAGGGATTTGATTTTCTTAAAGTTTATTAGAAAATTATTGGTTCCTGTGGACTGGCCCAGCAGAGTTCTGACATAGACTGTGTGAACCTTAACATTGTGAATAAGGAATTCGTTTCTAATCTTTCAATTTTTTAGCATTTTAGTAATTAATGGACACTACTTTTCGCCAAATTTACCATTGATAACATACTCGAACTTCATATGTTTAACTTTTGGGGGTAATATCTGTTGAGGATTTGGCTACTGGTTCTTCTTCTATCATTGAAATTACTAACGTTGCCGTAACTTCTCTTGTGCAGATTATAAGCGAGTTACTTATTTTAACTGTAACATAAGAGTAATTTTTATTTTTATTTTTTTACACTAAAATGTAAGAAAAAAAAGTTACCCCAACGGGATTGGATAATAAAAAATTACTAAAAATTAACTTTAAATTGGAAAAACATACTAGTTGAGATCATACACGTAATTTCTACTCTTTGAGTTACTCATCTTTGAAAATTTCCTAACTCAAACCTCATTTGTGGAAAATAATCGAAAAGAAAACTTCAATTGTCCTTGTTTAAATAATTGCGTAAGAGGAACGACAAAGCTCTTGTAAGGCTTATTGGAAAATCTGTTGTCAAACATTAAGAGTATGTTTGATTGACATGGAAAATATCACCTAGAAAAGAAAATGTTTTCCATCTTTTGTGGAAAATAAAAACCACCTCTACCCAAGGAATATATTTTCCTTACAAATAAGGAAAATTAGGCATATTTTCAAAAGTTGAAAAATATTTTTCATGGAAAAAAATAGCAATCAAACACTCTAAATAGAAATTTAGGTGGAAAACTGATATTTTCCATGGAAAATAATTGTAATCAAACATACCCTAATAGTTAATGTTCTTTATTCAAATTAAATCATTTTATTTTTCTATTTTGCTAATGTTTCCATGAGTACAGACGTAGGTAACAGCAACTTGTGATTTCTTGATTGATAAAATAAGCTGGCTATGGAGACACGGCCAAAATTAAATAAACGAAAAAAGGAAAAACTATTTGTCAATTGAAAACAGATCTTATTATAAATGGTTACACTCTATTCATGGTTTTCATGTGTTGACTTTCATATAATAATCCTTCAGCCAATAATGTCACATTATGTAGGTTTTTTTATTCAAAATGCTACCATTTGGTCCATGTCCGATCCCCTATCTCAAATTCATAGGGATCAAATATTTTCAGCAGCTTCATTGATAGAGTCGTCGTCGTCGTAACTGAGCTCTGTAACCCTCTTAGCGAGTAAGTCCGTAGCTTTCATAGAAACAGGAAGCAAATCCTTTGCATAAACATGTTTAGTTTCCATCAAGAAATCGATCTATCCTATGTTATGATCACTTTGTTTTTTTTATGGTTTCTCAAAAAATTTCTATATAGGCCTGCTGCTAAAAAAAATCTGCCACCGTCTCCTCCAAAGCTTCCAATCTTAGGCAATCTCCACCAACTGAGTGCATTAACTCACAGATCACTCCAATCCCTAGCCAAAAAATATGGTCCTCTGATGCTGCTTCACTTTGGCAACAAGCCAACACTCATTGTCTCATCAGCCGATGCAGCAAAGGAGATAATGAAAACTCGGGATCTAATTTTTGCCAATAAACCCGACTCAAGTGTTACCAGGCTGTTAATGTACAACGGGAAGGATGTGGCTGTTGCGCCTTATGGTGAATACTGGAGGCAATTGAAAAGTATTTTTGTTCTCCAGCTTCTAAGTAATAAAAGAGCCCAGTCTTTTCATTCCATCAGGGAAGAAGAAACAGCCCTTTTGGTGAAAAAGGTCTAGGAGCCCCCTTTGCATTTTTCTGGAGCCCATTATGTTTTGTTCTCGAAAATAGGCACCTAGTCTTCTTTGGTTCTGACTGTTGAACTTTGTGACTTTGATCTTCATTTAATTTTCGCGTTTTCTGATTAATTTTTTTATCTTGTTCTTGTAAATAGGTATCAGGCCTTGTTTCTGAAACATCATCACCAGTGAATCTGAGTGAGATGTTTGTGTCGCTAGCAAATGATGTGGTCTGCAGGGCAGCTCTAGGGAGGAAATACAGTGAAGAGGGAAATGGAAAGAAATTCCTTTATCTGTTGAGGGAAATTTCGGAGCTGGTGGCCAAGGTTAGTGTTGGAGAATTTATCCCATGCCTTTCATGGATTGAAAGGGTTTCCGGATTTAAAGCTAGAGTGAACAAGGCTGCTAAAGAATTTGATGAATTCTTGGAGGAAATAATTCAGGGAAGCTTGGATGCTGGACAGGATCTATCAGGGAAGGAAAATGGAAGTTCAGAAAACTTTCTTGATATTTTGACGGCGATTTACAAGGAGAATTCTATAGGCATCTCCATTGATAAGGACAGTATTAAAGGAATACTTGTGGTAAAAATTTCTCTTTTTCCATCTTGTCTTTCGCATCATACTCATCCATACTCTTCTTATTGTATGTTATGTAATTATTCCAGGATGTATTTGTTGGTGGAACAGATACCACATCAACCGTTTTGGAATGGGCAATGACAGAGCTGATAAGACATCCTAAAATCATGAATAGATTGCAAAACGAGGTGAGGGGTATTCTTAATGGAAAACAGAATATAACTGACGCCGACCTAGAGAAAATGTATTTTCTGAAAGCCATCATCAAAGAAACTCTTCGTTATCATTCTTCCATCCCATTTTTGACCCGAATAGCAAGCCAAGATGTCCAAATAATGGGATACGATATAGCAGCTGGGACAATGATTATAACAAACAATTGGGCAATCGGTAGAGACCCTGAATCTTGGGAGGAACCCGAAAAGTTTCAGCCTGAGAGATTCTTGAACTACCCAATAGACTTCAGAGGACTAGATTTTCAACTGCTTCCATTTGGTGCGGGACGAAGAAGGTGTCCGGGAATCAGTTTTGCAATGGCAACCATTGAATTTGCATTAGCAAATCTTGTCCAAAAGTTCGACTGGAAATTGCCTAATGGAGATAAAGGAGAGGATTTGGACATTACTGAACATCCGGGTATTACAATTCATAGGAAAAAACCTCTTCTAGCTGTTGCCACTCAATATTGCTTCTAATGTAGAATGCAAACTTTGTTAATTTCATGACTTTCTTGATGTAAAAGCAGAAATATTAAAAAATACTATCTGATTTTCCTTTTTCTATTACTCGAGTAATTGTTTCAAAGGTAGCTAACTCAAAATTAAAGATTTACCAATCTTTTTTGAAGCATCTAGACATTCTTGTTAAACTAAACAAAGTTGATAGAACTTTTTGTCCATTTAAACACTCTAGTCGTCTTTCCCAACTTTGACTCGATTACGTAGATGACATTTTGATAAAAGGGCACGACAGTCGTAGACTGACTTGAAATTTTAGTAGTTATTTTGTTTCTTGCTAATACTCATACCTTATGATTTCTACTCTCTCCTCCTCCTTCATCATGGTTAATAGCTTTTGTTCAAGCACTTAAGTAGCCCTCTTCCTTGGTAGATAATCTACTACAGACAAAATCCATATTTCATCTCTTCATTTTTTCATAAATTTTCTTCTTTGCTTTCAAGTTGAAAAAGTGTTCATTATTCTAAAATACAAATTATTTCAATTAGATTGATAAATCAATTCAAATACATCATTTAATTGACAGCAAATAGAAAGTAATATTGGAACCAAATTAAAATTTAGTTACGCAGTTAGAAGTCATAACCGGAATAGGAGCACTCAACTCTCAATTACATGAACCAAAACGTTATGTAAAACCCTACTTTTCTATGTCTAATTACGACGTGTTTTTAATGGTGACTATTTATGATTTATTAAGTGCAATTAATGCAATGAAGAACCATTAAGGCTCCATTCTCTTCGCTGTTTTCAAGTCGTTTTCTGTTTTCACATGACCATTTAGTTTCTTACATTTGGGGGACTACCCTACACGGGAAAACGTATAGGGCATTTTTCAAAACAATGAAAACGCATTCTTTTTTGCGTTTTCGAAAACAAAAAAATTTTGTGAAGAAAACGCAAAATGTCAATTTTGACTTTTTGGACGTTTTCTATACAAGACCCAAATTTTTTGGAAAACACGGGAAAGCGGAAACAAAAACTTCATTCAAGCCCTTTCTCTCTTCGGTCTCCTTTCTCTCTTCCCAAATAGCCGTCTCTTCCTTCTCTCTCGACGTCGGCATCTCTCTCAAACATGGAAGCCGACAATGAAGGAGATGCGTTGATGCCGGGGCCAACATGGAGAGGCGACGCTGCTGTGAACGCAGCGTCACGATGGGTTCTACGCGATTGGGGGTTTCTTTATTTTTCGATTTTGCGGCGCTAGGTGTTGATGGTCGTGGTGGTGGTGGCGGTGGCGGGCAAGTGGTCGTGGTCCATCTGTGGTGGTAGTGGTGGTATTGATTTTGGTTGATTTTGTTGTGGTATGTTTGATAGTGTTGGTGGTGGTCGACGATGGTGATGTGGTGCGGTGGATGAATTGATGGTTCATGGTGGTTGAATTGATGGTGGTGGTGGGGTGTTCTTGATTTCTGCGGTGGATGAATTAATGGTTCATGGTAGATGAATTGATTTTGGTTGATTTCTGCATTCTTGTTGTTCTTGATGGTGGTGGTGGTATGTTCGATGGTTCTTTGTTTTCTGCATTCTTTTTGTTCTGGTGCTTGAATTTTTTTATTTTTTTTTGTGGTTGAATTGATGGTGATTTGGTTGATTTTGATTGATGGTTGGTGGTGGTGTTGGCAGTCGTTGGTTATGTTGATCTTGGTTGGCAGTGGATTCGAGCTAGTGGTGGCAGCTTTGTAGTGGACCTAGTGGCATTCGCGGCGGTGGTGTGGTGGTTTCTTGAATAAAATAGCGTGAAAAAATATTCTCAAAATTTCGAAGCAAATGCATTTTCCATTTTAATGTTTTGAGAAACAATTTTACAGAATAACAAAAAGAACGTATTTTCAAAAATTTCAAAGCAATCCCTCAAAATACAAAACTCATAATGAATTCGAAACTCAAAATTACAAAACTGAAACATGAAGAAAACAGTCCCTAATTAAGTACAACAAATTCTTAGAAAATTTTTCGGGCTAGTTTTGCAAATTATGTATATCTAGGGACTAAACTACAATTAAGTACCACAAATTCTAGTAAATTATGGAAAGTTAGAAACCTTTAGTCGTTTTGAAGATACAAATCGTTGTTCTTATTGAAGCAGAGAATCAAATTTTAATGAAAAGTAATTTTTTTACGATATATTAGAACTATTTCAAATCATTTCTGACACACTAGTAAAATAGTATCACATATATGCATGATTATACACTATTTTAGGCCCAATTTTATCGTAATTTCCATATTATTTATGTTGATAAAATAATTTAGATGATGTAGAAGTGTTTCAAATTGATTACTATGTTACATCTGATTTTGTAATGTAACTGTGAGATTATTTATAAAAATATATATGTTTTAGATTGGCGTATTATTAATTTGATCACACAATACAGATTATGCCCCAAATATGTTTGGCATAAGCGAAGAATTGAATCGGTAATTCAGTCGTTATGGGTCGAGCAAAAAATTAATAGCCTAACATTGTTGTGGAAAATACCAGCAACATTTAGATAAAAAAAAAAAAAAGGGAAAATAAGAATGAACACTGGAGTTCGCCACATTCCTGAAGTTCAGGGGTAAATCCATTAAAATGCATTTTTTTGGGCAAATGAGTTTTCAAAGTGTCATTTTTAAGTATAAAATAAAAACTTCCAAACTAGTAACGGTAGAGTTGTCGCAAAGACGGTTTTGAGGGCTTGACAAATTTAAGTTTTAACTATAATCAAACTGAAGTGCTTAGTTCGGTCAGAGTGAGATATTAAAAAGTGTATGTGTATCTAGCAATCCCAATAAATTTTTTGTCACGACAATTGTTATTTGTGTGTGTATATATTTGGACACAATCATGTTTGTTTAACATTGGTCATATTAATTAAATAGGAAAGACATGTTATGACATAACTTATAATCAAATTGTTTCTGTTTTAGTCAATTCACTCTATCCAACTTCATTTATCAAACTAATGGAAATGCTTGGAAGAAAAAAGAAGAAATAGAAATAACTAAATCCCCCAAGAATCAAGATCTCTACGGCTACCACACAAGAGTTTATCTATTTAACTTTCATGCTGCATGTCAGTCAAATTTCTACGCTTAGATGTTACAAGGCTACCAGCTGATTCCTGTATAATTCTTATCTTTACAGCAGCACTATCTTGCAGATTCTTAAAAATAGTACGTTCTTACATCTTGAGATAATGGAATTTTGTTGGGTGCACATCTACTTTTGTTGAGAAGCCCCATTTGGCATTTGGCCTTGGTGAATATGACAAATCAAAAGCTAAAATTTCAGCTTTCTGGCTATTTTTGATGTTTCAATGCTATATATCGCTTAAAGAAACTGAGCATGAGCTATTAAATAATAGAACATAAAAAGACTATCCTGTTAATTTCCTTTGAGGAGAGCAGAAAATGATTTATTTTCTGCAATTGGTAGTTCCTCTTGTTTTGTTCATCATTTTTCTTTTGAAATCGTACTTCAATACTTCTTCGACAGCCCGGAAATGGCTGCCGCGATCTCCACCAAAGCTTCCAGTGATTGGAAATCTTCAACAACTCGGCCTATTCCCACATCGCTCACTGTAAGTACTATCCAAACGCTATGGTCCACTCACGTTGCTTCATCTGGGAAGAGTGCCAGTACTTATTGTAACGTCTGCTGATGCTTCTCGCAAGATTATATGAACTGGTGAATTATGAAGTTATAAAACTTTAAGTTAATGTATATGAATTTTCAAGAGCCAACTCACAGAACTTGAAGAAATTTCCAAGACATTCATCAAAAATCCTCCTCAAATTGAATTATATGAACTGGTGAATTATGAAGTTTTGAGCAGTAACAGAATCTATTCTAGGTCATAGAATTCCATATTTTTCCCTTTGGAAATCCAAAGATTTATTTTGAATATAATCACTCTTAGAACACCCCCACCCCACCCCCCCGCCCCA